TTAATCGACTCTTTGAACCGAAAGGGAAGAAGTCGGTGGAAGTAGGCTCGTATAAACTAGGCTTGTTCGTAATTGTATTGCCTAGGTGTTAAATGACTTGTTAACTTGTCATTTAAGTTTGTTCTCTTGTTACGAAGAGTTATTGAGAATGAGTACTTGAACGAACCGGTTATTCAAATCACTTAACCGAACAATCTTTTGCTTGATAATTGCATTTTCGAACCAAAACGGATATCCCCGACTCCCTAGCTTCTCAAATCTTACTTGTTCTACGTGTTCGATTGCTATTTAATTTGCTTTATTTAAATTCTAGTAGTTGTTAATTTAAAACCAAACCAATCATCTTAATTAGTTATGTTTAGGTATTTTAATTCTTTGATTGTGCTTGAATAAACGCGCATAATATTCCGGCTAACCTTCCTCGTGAGACACGACTCGGCGTTCGAATCTTTTGATTCTACTCCGGAAAATTATTTACAACAATAACATCTTGCATCTGGTTGCCACAAGCCGCCCGGAATTACGAGTTGAAAATGATCCACTACAACCAGTTGCCTTCATTCCACGGGCTCCCTAATGAAGATCCACTCTACTTTCTCCGGGAGTTCTGTAACGTCCTCCAGACGTTTCCTCTGCATGGGCTAACCGAGGATCAACTAAGAATGCGGTGCTTCCTGGAGACACTGAAGGATCGGGTCAAAGCGTGGTTCATGACCTTGGCCCCCGATTCTCTAAGAACTTGGGCCGAAGTATACTCAAAATTTGTCGGGAAGTACTATTCTCATAAGAAGACCCAAGACATCCAGTCCCAAATCGTCTCTTTCGCTCAGCTGCCACACGAGCCTCTTCATGAGGCCTGGGAACGTTTCAAGGACCTCCAGAGGTAGTGCCCCCACCACAACCTCGCTCCGGGGCTACTAGCGAATTGCTTCTACGACTCTCTCCTTCAGAACTTGCAGTACATGGTGCACAATGCAGCTGGAGGGGATATTGGGGCCAAAACAGCAGAAGTGATGATTGCAATTTACGAGACGATGAGTGATAACTCGTCTCAGAAAAGAGTCAGAGGGAAGAGGTTTACAGTGAACGAGGTTGGACAGAGTAATAATGCCATGGCCCAACAGTTAGCCGAGCTCACGGAGCAGATGTGACTACTGAATGCTCGAAGTTCCTCGCCGATTTGGACTATGGTCGTGAATGCTTGTGGTGCATGCGTAGTTCAGGGATAAAGTTCCGAGGCGTGCCCTATGGCTATTGAGCCAAGCTATGGAAGGCAAGGTGCTAAGGTAAATGCAGTGCAAGGATACCAGAACCGGCCTGGGAATGACCCGTATTCGAATACATATAATCCCGGGTGGAGAAACCACCCAAGCTTCTTCTGGTCTAACAACAACTCTCAGCGGCCTTCTGAGCCTAACTTTGTCCCCCATCAGCAGCAACACATGGGACAAATGTTAAGGTTGCTAGCACCAGAAGCCGAACCGAGCCCGCCAAACAGACGAAAAACTGGATAAAATTCTTCAGTACGTGGCCAATAGTGAGCAACGAAGTGCGAATAGTGAGGCTTTCATTAAACGCTTGGAAGCACAGATAGGCCAGTTAGCCCCCTGAGTGGGGAACATTGAGGTGGAGTTGAAGAAAGACAGACTACCGAGTCAGCCGGAGCACGTGAATGCAGTTACAGTGCCGATGTCGAGCCCGAGGAGAAGACAGTTGTCAAAGTGGAGAAAGAGGGGAATGAGGGTCCGAGGAAGCAAGAGTTGAAACAAGAGCCTTCAGTGACACCACCAACCGAGCATACCCTTCACAAATCTCAGAATCCCTACAGGCCGAGGATCCATTTTCTCGGCCAATTTTTGGAAGAAAAGGACTGTCGGATGATTCGAGACCTTCATGCACTGTTGGTTAAGGCCAACGATAACCTGTCTCCTCCCGATGTTAAAGAAAATACCAGCTTATGCACGATGTTTCAAGGAAGTGGCAGCCAATAAGCAGAGGCTTGAGAGCAGTGAAGAGATGCTCCTGTCTGAAGTGGCAAGTGTTCTCTAACATTACTTGCCAGCGAAAGAAAAGGACCCCAGAGGCTTCGTGATCACTATGGCCTTTGGGAATGGAGAATAGACCTCGGGCATGCTTGATCTAGGAGCGGGGCATTAATCTAATGCCACTTTCATTTTATCGTCGGCTCGGGCTTGAAGACTTGAAGCCCACCAGGATGCATCTATAGCTGGCTGATCGCTCGTTCCGTCAACCAGAAGGGGTTGTGGAGGATGTTCTTGTCCGAGTGGGGAGGCTGATAGTCCCCGTGGACTTTGTTGTGCTCGATATGAGAAACGTGCAAGAAAATGGAAGACAGCACACCATCTTCCTCGGGTGACCTTTTATGGCTACTACCAGCACAGTCATTTATGTGAAGAAAGGGACTGCGAGTATGACTGTGTTTGGGGGAGTCCACTTTCATTTCCACCCGAGAGTCTCAGCATGAGCCGTAAGTGAAGCTGGTGGAAGAGTGTGGTTACCTCTGGGCGATTGAGCAGCTCACGGAGGACGTCTGTATGCGAGAACACACGAAGAGATCACTACAGGACCGTGTCCCTGTCCAGAAGGAGTGTTGTACCGACAACCACTCTACCCCATCCCAGCCGAATTTGAAAGAGCAGCCCCATCTTAATGGGGTGAGAGATTTGAGTTAACAGAGGCCCGTCGCTGTTCGGGGCCCGACTACCTCTACCCTTCACCTGCACCACCGGATTCACGGTGACTAGTCTAGTCACTGTGCCTTGTACGTTTGTATCTTTTTCTTTCTCTTTATTTTCATTTTTGGTTAGTGTCTTTGTTTTCCTTTTATGTTGGTTGATTATATTC